AGGGTCATCAAGCCAGCAAGGAAAGCCAGGGTCATCAAGCCAGCAAGGGAGACCAGGGCCAGGGTCATCAAGCCAGCAAGGGAGACCAGGGTCATCGAGCCAGCAAGGGAGACCAGGGTCATCAAGCCCGCCAGGGAAGCCAAGATTTTCTTATAATCAAGAAGAAAGAAAAAATGAAGACAAGTCGTTGAATGGAAATATCATGAAAATTAAGGTTAGTGCTGATGATACCTTCATCTATCCCCCACCAATCCCCTGCCATCACACACCAACGTGAGTTCCCTCAGCCATACTATCAGCCAAGACCTGAAATGGTTAGCTGAATACACTGCATTAATTGCACACAAAAATTTGTGATGACACTGTCCTATACAAATAAGAGAAACTCTGGATTATTCATGTGTACAACCTCCATGCTCATCAATGAGTGCCATCTCATTTTATTCCTTCTCACATTGCCCTTTCTCATTATCCACTCAAATCCTTCTACTTCCACTGGGTGCTCTTTGCCTGATTCTAACCCTCGCAAGGTTTAGCATTGATACTCTTGTCTATCCCATTCATAATCTGCAACCACTGATATTGTTACTCCCTGCCCAAATTCTGTAGTGTTGACACTAGATGCAATCCAAACTCCTAAACTTGAAATACAGGGTTCTTCATAACTAGGCCCCTACCTGCTCCTCATGTTATGCCACACCTCTCCCATCATTTACACCTGTGCACATATTAGCCCATCGTACACAACTCTTTAATTTTCCACTGACATATTGTTGATACATTGTTGCTGTCAGGTGCCATCGGAGTAGGTTCCAACTCATGTGATATTAATGATAGTGTGCTATAATTTGTGGATTTTGTTGGGTCACATTTCCTTGTTATGATACAAATACGGATCTCTGCAGATCGTTTGGCCTCGTAGCTCTATTCCAAATGTCCTGGCATAGACAAGGGAGTGTTTCCAGGGCTTCATTAGATTGTTTAAACATTTTAATTAGTATTCCACCTATTCCTGGATTCTTGGTTCTGGCTAATGCTTTCAGAGCAGCTTGGACTTCTTCCTTCAGTACTATTGGTTCTTGCTCATATTCTACCTCTTGAAATGGTTGGATTCTTCTAGTTCTTTTTGGTCCAGTGACTCTGTGTATTCTTTTCCACCTCTTTTGATGCATTCTGTGCTGTTCAATATTTTGCCCATAGACTCAATATTTCATATTGAAATGTTAAACTTTAATAGAGAGCACAAAGCTTGGATTTTTCTTTGGTCCTTTCAGTGTAATACATTAGAATGTGTGTATGTCTAGTATTAATGATATCCCTAGTATAAACAAATTGCTGCAATTTCTATTGCAAAATTTTGATCTCATTTCTTTATCTGTAAACTTGAAATGGACAATCTTTGTTGTAACCTAGTTCTTTCGCTCTCATGGTAGATGCGGTTGTAGCTCAGGAAGACTTTTTTCCCCTGTATGTTTTTGGTTAATTTCTTATTGTTATGTTACTGGCAAGTCAGGACTCATAGCTCTGTCCTGATTACCGCATGCAAGCTTTTAATGTCCAGATGCTACTCATTTTTTATGCTACAGATCATGAGTTTTGTTAATGCTATAATTCCATTTGATTGAGTTGTCTCGTGAGACTCTGATTCTATCCTGTCAAACTCCTGCAAACATCTTGAAAGGTGTTGTGTGGAGCATCCACATTTGTATCTTTAATTAAAATACGTGCCTGCATCCACATTTGTATTAACATGTACCTACAGAGCTCGTAAGGCACTCTGGTGGGCCAGTGGGTTAAGCACTGAGCTGATAAATGACAGGCCAGCAGTTCAAACCCACACATGCCCTGTGGGAGAAAGATGAAACATACTGCTTCTGCAAAGGTTTACAGCCTTGAAAACAGCCCGGGGAGCAGTTCTCCTCTGCCCTATGGGGCCATTCTGAGTATAGTCTGCTCTCCTGGAAACACACAACCTGAGTACCAATATGCCGAGACTCACTCATATGGGCTCCAAAACTTGTTTTCACTTTATCTGTCCTGAGCTCACTACGTTTACATTTAGTGCAACTTTGCCCATCATTTAACAATAATAAACAAATAAGAAGTCTCTATTTTCTCATCCTCTCCTCTTCTCCTCTAGTATGAGCATTAGTCTTTCTCTGTATAATTATAGCTAGCTTGTTTATCTTATAAAAGAGTGATTATAAAATAAATATTGTTATGTGCTTAACTTATTTTACTTAACTTTAAGCGCTTCAGGTCCATCTATGTTATAGTATGTTTCTCAGACTCTTCATTGTTCTTGATGGCTGCACAGTATTTCATTTTATGTGTGTACCACAATTTCCTTATCCATTCATCATTGATAGGCACTTTGGTTCTTTCCATTTCTTTTGTATTGTGAATTAAAAAGCAATGAACATATGTGTACATATGTCTATTTGTGACATTGCTTTTAGGTCTGTAGGGTAGAAAGACAAACTTGACCCATCTGGAAGTTTGTCATACTATGGTAGTTTGCATGTTGCTGTGAGTATGAAAGCAATCATCACCATTGCTAGAAATACCAGAAGGATTAAATGTGGTGGACACTTTTGAATGGAGCTTCCAGACTCAGAATAGGAAGAAAAACCAGACAAGTCCCTTATGAAAAAAAATAGTCTCTCGAAATCTTATGAATAGCAATGAAACCTTGTCTAATTTAGTGCCACAAGATGAAGCCCTAAGATTGAAAGGCTTTCAAACTATGATTCAGGAAGAGCTGCTTTCCCAAAATAAAGTCAACCTTAACAACACTGATGGAGCAAATTTTGGAGGACTTTTATCTACTGATATGCCAAGACTCAATATAAGAAGAAACAATTCCAAACATCCATTCAGTCATGGAAATTATGAAATGTGAAGTTAAGTATGATGAAAGTCATTGAAAATTAGATGGAAAGAATAAAGCTTGATATCCTAGACAGTAGTAAGCTGAAATGTAATGGTATTGGCATTGTTAATTCAGACAATCATATGTTTACTATGCTAGGAGTGGCAAATAAACTATTTCATTAATTATCTAAGAGAACATGTCAAGATATATCTTAGAGAAAAAAATCTGATCTGTGATATCATAATATATATACACCTACAAAGAAGAATAGTCAATCCAACTATTATTCAAATATTTACATCAGCGGCTAATGCCAATGATCAAGAAATCAAAAATTTCTACCAAATTCTCCACACTGAAATTGATCAAACATGCAATCAAGATGCAGTGATAATTACTTTTAGTTGTGATTGAAAGTTAGAAACAAAGACTAAAAATCAGTAGGTAGTTGGAAAATAGGTCATTGGTGATAGAAATATCAATAGAGATGATACGATAGAGTTTTGCAAGACCAATGACGTATGCACTGCAAATATCACTGTTCAGTAATATAAATAGTGACTATGCACAGGAAATTCATAAGAAGTATTACACAAGAACCAAATTGACTCCAGCTTGGGAAAGAGACCATGGAGAAACTGAAAATAATTAGTCAAAACAAAACCAGGGGAAACTGGTACAAACCATACATTGCTCATATGCAAGTTCAGGTTGAATTTAAAAAAATTAAGACAAATCCATGAAAGCCAAATAAAACTTAACATATCTCACAAAAATTTAGAGTCAATCTTAAAATATATTTAATGCATTGAACGCTAATGACTGAAGAACAGAGAAGTTGTGAGATAATATCAAGAACATTACACATGAGAAAAGTAACAGGTTATTGAAAATATATGGGGAAAGGAAAGCCAAAAAATGAAGGTCTTAAAGACTCTGGAACTGGCTCTTAGCCATAGAGAAGCTAAATAATCTGGAAGAAATGTTGAAGTAAAATAGTTGAAACCAGATTTTCAACTAGAAGCTCAAGAATATAAAGCAAAATATTGAAAAGTACAAAGACCTGGAGTTAGATAAACAATGTAAGCACACATTCACCATTGCTCGAGCTGAAGAAAAATGGGGGAAATATTTGAGTCTTGAGTTTCAATTTTGGAGGGTTTTTTGGGGAAAATATTTAATAATGTAAGAAGTAATACAAGAAGAAGAAAGGAATATTATGTCACAAAAACTGTATAATGTTCAACCATTACAAGAGGGGGCTGATCATCAAGAACTGGTAGGATTGGAGGAAGAAGTCTAAGCTGCACTGAAAGCATTGGCAATCAAAAGGCTTCAAGAATGTAAGGAAAACTGACTAGACGGGTTCAACAAATGAATTCAACACTGGAGTTGCTCACTCATCTGTATCAAGAAATTTGCAGACAGCTACTGGCCAATCAACTGCAAAAGATGCATATTTGTGTCCAATTCAATGTAGGTGACCCAACACAAGGTGGAAATTGTCTAATAAAAGCATTAATATCACAAAAAGTACTATTTTAATGATGATAACCCAAAAATGGTTGCAGCTGTACATTTACAGGGAGCAGCCAATAATTCAAGCTGAAATCAGGCTCCTTGTCAGTAATGTCTCCAAGGGAGTGTCTGTTTGTCCCCCCTCCAGGGAGCTGTTTATCTCCTTAGTGACTCCAAAGGAAGTCATTAAGCTGCGACCTGATTGACAGACTAAACTCCACCCCTCAACAAGTTGACACCAGATTATGTAACTACCACAATAAGGGAGACTCAAGAGGACTTTGAAGTGGGGAGAATGTTGAAGAGTTACCAACTTTACATCTGATTCCCTGGTAAAGCTCTGTTACTTGGAAGGCAAGAATATAAATCCTATCAATCAAGGACCCCTGATGGCATAAACAGTTAGGCAGCACAAGCTAGCAGAAAGGCTGGATATTTGAACTCATGCAACCACTCCGTGAAAGGCCCGGCAACCTACTTCTGAGAAGATTATGGCCATGAAGACCCTATGGTTGTCCTCTGACATGGAGTCACTATGAGTTAAAATAGACTGGACTACATTAACCATAAGCCTTGGCATATTTATCCATTCCAATTCACAATTTCCTTATTTTAAATTAAAAAATACTGATTCCTGTCTTGATCTGCATTTAAGTTATGTGAGACCCATATTTGTCATCTACAACCCAAAGGGGCAGTTCTAGCCTGTTCTATAAAGTCACTATGAGTCAGAATTGATTCAATTACAATAGGTATTTTTTGTTAGTTTCCTTCATTATCTCATAATAAATTTTAATTCTGTATTTATTTTGTATGACCATCTGTCCTCTTTTTTGTTTATTGATTGCATGCAATATTGTTCTCCATCCTTTTTAACCAGTCTGTTGGTTTCTTTGTAGATCAGGTAGGTTTCTTGTACATGACAAAAGTATGGATCACGCTATTTTTTAAAATCCATTTCACAATGTGGTGTCTTTTACAAGAGGTATTTTAGCCAGTTGCATTAAAGGTTATTATTGAAAATGGAACATCTACTTCATTTATTTTTCTATTTTTAATTATTTATATAAAATAATATATAAGAAGATATGTCTCTTTTAAAAATGTTCTGATTTTTCTGTGTAGTAGGTTGCTTTTTCTTGATGAACCCTTTTTGTTTTTTCCCTTGTTTTCTTCAGAATGCTTTCTATTGTTTTTTTAGTAGTTAATCCATATAAATACATTACATTACACAACTTAAATGGCAACAATCTTTAACATATTAACAACAGGTTACCTAATAAATGCATCTCTAAAATTTTCCTCCCTCTTTCTGTTGGTGTGGCTTAACATCAACAAACAACCTATATTCAATAAATTGCTTTGTTCTTATTTCTTACAAATTTAGTGCTATATTATTTTTGAGATTTAATTATTGATTTTAATACCTGAAGATATCTCATACTTTGCCTTTATGATTGTCTACGGTGTTTCAATTTGAGAAGATATTTCTCTTTCTTTCTTATTTATTTATATATTATTGGTTGAATGATTGATTGTTTTCTCCCATGCACAAATAAGTAGGAGCTATGGAGGTGTAGTGATTAGGCATTGGGCTGGGATCCACAAGGTCAGCAGTTCAAAACCACAAGGCTCTCTTCAGGAGAAAGACAGGGCTTTCTACTCCTGTAAAGAGTTACAGTCTAGTAAACACAGAGGAGCTGTGTCCCTGTAAGTCAGCATTGACTCGCTGGGAGTGAGTAGTAATACAAACAAGAGTATTGATGCAACGCCATCCCACTTTCATTTTAAATATTCCCTTGAAAGATGCTTGCAAAAGTGATCTGTTAGTGGCTAATTCCACGAGCTTCTATTTGTTTGGAAATGGCCTTATTTACCCCGTGCAGTCAAACGACAAGTCTGGTGGATGAAAAATTCCTGGATTGTAATCATTTTCATTTAGTATTTTACTTATGCTACCCCATTGTCTTCTGGCCTCAAGGTTTTCTGAAGAGAAAACCCCACTGATTCTGATGAGAGTCCCAGCATCTGCTGTCCTGTGTTCTTCTCTCCCTGCTTTCAGAAGCCGCTTCCTGCTACTGTTTTTCAAGAATTTTATTAGGATACGACAAAAGTTGATTTTTGTACGTGTATCTTCTCATTGGGGTTCATGTAGTTTCTTTTCTTTCCAGGTTTGTTTTTCTGTACAGTTGTAGCAAAGTATCTCTGACCCTTGAAAAGTCATTTCTCTACCTTTATTTTTGTAATGCTGATCTCAAATTCCAAAAAAAATCTAATGTTAGATTTCGTCATTGAAAATGATATTTCCTTGTAGGTACATTTTGTTTCTCTTGATAATAAGTTCCTTTGTCTCCTAATTTCTTAATTATGTCTTCTGTCTAAGCTTATTGTTGCTTATTTCCTAAAGTTTGTTTTTAAATAAAAGTTTCTTTAGTTGCTTTATCCTTCAGTTCTAGTAGTAGATGTCCTTGTCTGAAAATTATTAATTTTCTGAGTTATTCTGGCTTCCTCCATATTTGCTTGCCTTTGATTTGCCCTTCTATTGTGATTTCAGGGGTTTTTATTTTATTATGTTTTTTTGAACTTGGGCCACTTATCTTTTTTTAATTGTGAATTCTGTTCCTTTGTGGGAACTTTTTCTGACCCAGAAACCTGGTGGTGCTGTAGCCAACTGAAAGACTGAAGCCCCGCCCACCAGCTGTTGCGCAGGAGGAAGATGTGACCGTCCATGTCTGCAAAAGACTCCCGCCTTGATAAGCATGTGCAGCAGCTCCAATCCGCCTGACAGGCTCTCTGAGCCAGACTCTTGCCAGCCGTTTTCTCTTGAGAACTACTAAAGGGCAATCTTATCCTTAGTTCAGTAGGACTTCAGGGGGTTGGGATGCTTGATCTCTGGACTTCAATATGCACGCAGGAGGGCTTAGCTGGCTGCAGAGACTGACATAATCAGGAAAGAGGGGCTTGCCTGTGGTGAAGGGACAGGGGATTCTCTCTGCACAGGTTCTGCCACGGTGTGCCACTGTGGGCATGGAGTCTTTTCTGTCGTCCACCAATTTAAGGTGCTCTCTTCACGCTGCTGCCCTGGCAGTTCCTTAGGGAGCTCGCGCTTGCCTTGGGCTTCAGTGAAATCCAGCAGCACTCTCTGAGAGCCCCATTGCCTTTCCTTGCCTCATTCCAAGGTAGGATCCATGAACCCCTTGCAGTCTCTTTATGCTGTCTTAAAACAGCACAACCACAGCTTCCTCCCTTTTTACGTTCTCTATTTGGGGTGCTGCCTGATGTTTCTCAGAAGCCAAGGTGGCAAGATTTTGTCTCACGTGCTTTGGACTTGTTACCAGGAAAAGGATGTCATGCTTGATATAGTAGAAGGTCCGAGAAAAAGAGGAAGACCCCCGACTAGGTAGATTAGCACCCCAGCTACGACAATAGGCTCGAACATAACCACAAGCGCAAGCACACGGCAGGGCTTGCTTTCTTCTGTGGTAGGCAGGGTGGCTGAGTGGAGAGCAGCCCATTGGCATCCAACAGCAACTCGCTTATCACAAAATAGCTGGGAAATTCTAGGACTTCTGCGGTCATTGTGCAAGTTCTCCCAGCATTGATGCCATCTCTGTTTCTCCTATTTCCAACTCCTGGGTTCACTCTGACTCTCCACCACCTCAGTTACTATCTGAAGTTCTGAGGGACCAATCTGTAGTTGTTTCCATTCATTGATCAATGAGTTAGCTGTTGTGTCAGTAAATGGAAGCATCCACTCACTGCACACCCTCGCTCTGTCCCTACTCTACCGCATTTTAATTTTTGACCCAAATACATTACGCCTTGGTAGTAAAAAGAGGACCATTTAGTTTCATACTTTTATGTCTAGATGCTAGGAGGAGCCAGAATGATTTGTTAGATGAAGGAGTAAATGTTTCATCTATTTTGGGGACTCATAATTATAAAGTGATGCATATCGAACCGATCAACCTATTTCTTTTGCTTTTTATCCTCAATGGCTGGTCTATTTCTGAATACACAGCCCCTGAGCCCCCTTTAACGACTCAGAAAACCCCATTGCGATCCTACGTCCCACAGTTTAGCGGAACTTCCTTCACCTCATCCTCTTCATGGGGGCCTCATTGTTCATGATTGCTATTCCAAAGAGCCCTTTCAAACGAAAGCTGTGTTTCCTTCTTGGAAAGGATCGCTTGAAGGTATATTGTGTTGTTGTTGTTGTCAGGTGCCATCGAGGGGGTTCCAACTCATAGTGCCAACAGTACAACAGAACGAAACACTGTGATCCTGAGCCACACTCACACTTGTTCTTATATTGAGCCCATGATGCAGCCACTGCGTCCATCCATCTGACTGAGGGCCGTCCTCATTTTCCCTGTCCCGCTACTTTCCAAAGCATGAGGTCCTTTCCGACTGGTTTCTCTTGACAAAATCTCTGAAATACATGCGATGAAGGAAGTCTCTCCATCCTTGCCTCCAAGGAGTATCCTGGCTGTACATCTTCCAAGACGAGGCATGATGTAGCAGGATCATAAAGACAGGCCTGTCATACAAATATGAATGTCTTTTAAGGTGTCACAAAATCATTCTCAATTATATACTTTTCTTTTCTAAAATGAAAGTAATTTCAGAAGTGTATTAACAAAATGATTGACACAGTACGAGATTGGATTGATAATAACTGTCATGTGTTCATTTTGTTACATCAGAATTAAATTGATTTTATGCTTACTTTATGGTCTTTCATATTATTATAGACTGGCAGCACCAGTAACAAGAGCCCAACTCCAAAAACAAAATGCCAGTCTATCTACAAACCAGTTTGTGGTTCTGATGGCAAAACCTATGGTAACCAATGTGTACTTAATGAAGCAAGGAGGTAGGAACACTTTGTGGTTTTTGTGATAGCTGTATGTGAACATTCACAAAAAATTGAAAAATATTTCTCTCCATATCTTTGTAGTTCTGTCTGCATACAAGCTTGATTGTGGAATCATAGTGCTATACATAATGCTTGATCCGTAAATGCACTCACCTGCTGTAATTGCAGGTAGTCCTGTTGACAGGAGTAGAAAGCCTTGTCACTGAGGCTGGTGGTTTGGAACTAGTAACCTTGTGGTTAGCAGTTTTGTTTCAGGATGAGTAACTTGTAACCCTACACTACCAGGGTTCCTTCAAGTAATCATTTTATTAGGCAGTATGAAACTTGTCCAGTCAATGATTTTGTTAAATGCTTATTAAACACTGTGAATTAGAAAATGATGGAAGCACTGATGATAAAGCGGCAAGTAAAACAAGAGGAAACACTAACATTTATGCCAATTTCATTATTCTAGCCACAAACGATAGAAAGAACAAGTCAGCGAGAAAAGGAAGGCTATAAAACCCAGAGGCTGCTAAATGTTGGCAACAAAAATATATTTTGTCTTTAAATAATTATATTAAAAGTTAGATTTAGTGAGTTATCCAAGTGTTTGTGTTACATTCTGAAGTGTAGTCCTTATACTATCTTTCTTTCCCTAGTTCCAGTATTTAGTATTGTTTCAGTAAATGCTTATTACAGGAATTACTAAAGGTCAAAGATTCACCTGTCACTATGCAAGTCAGAGTTGGAAGGATCGAAAGATACCAGTTGTCTCGTTTGATAGAAAAGGCACCTGATCCCAGGAGGAGAAGGGACAAAGTGAACAAAATAACAGAATGATCGGTGTAAATCAAAGAAGTCAGGACTTAGTACCATATTTTTCCATGTTGTTTTAAATAACATTTTATCTTTGTGGTAATGATCCAAAGTTATGATCCTTTGTTTTTTGTCATTTTTGTTTCAGGTTGAGTAATAGAAAACTGAGTGTGCAGCATGAAGGGAAATGCCAGACATTTGCATCAACTAAATAATCTGGAACCTCAATATCCACTTGTCACCCCTTTAACCCATGACTCCTTCTGAAAGTGCCACTCTGAGGTCAGCATGAGTCTGACAGATCTGATCGATCGATGAGCCTCTCAAATGTGTCCCACTTCAAATAAACTCAGTTCCAGAGTTCATTCTGATTTCTACGTTTGGTTTTCTTTCGAATTTCTGAAACCATGTGCAAGTCCGTGATCTCTTTGTATTCAAAGTTTATGGAACAGCAACATCAAAAAATTCTAATCTCTCCTTTAAGGTCAATATTTCAAAACCTACAGCTATAGTTTGTCAATGTTCAACAGATACAAGAAGCTTAGAATTGCATGTTAAAAATATGCCTTAAAGATTATGATGTAGTTGGTCTCTGGAAAACGTGAATGTCTGGCAATGTTAAACAGTCTTAAGGTATTTCTAATGGATGTGGTCCAGGTCAATGTGATGTGAAGTTGATTTAAGAGTTTTCAGAAACACATTCATAGACTTCAGAGTGTCCATGAGACTATACACACAGTAAGGTCTCTATGTCAGTTTTAAAGGGAATGTCCACAGCTTCCATTAGGTTCTTGAGGGGACACATGATAACAGGTGTAGTGTGGAATGAAGCTACAGAAACGGAAGTGTAGACATTTATTATATTTATGGTATGTTACATTGTGAATTAAATTGACTATGGCCTAAAATCCAGATGACAAGACTTGGAAGATAGGTCAGCAATGTTGCAATTAGGTCAGGACATTGAGTTCTGGGGAGGAAGTGAGATCCAGAACCTCGGTGGGGTGGTGGCTGTAAACTTTACTGTAAAAGAAAGGATTGCAGACACTGCCATCACGGGAATGCGGATAAGCTGGAGCTGGAGGTCACTGGGGAATGAAATTACTTTCACTGTCCCAGTTTCAATCCTTAAAACTGCTAGGTAGCCAGACAGGGACAGGGGCCTGTATAGTCTCTCTAGAGGAGGTTGGAAGAGAATCAGGCAAGCATTAGCCACCCATGAAGACTTTAACTGGGCATATTCCAATTCAGGGCCCCCCTAGCCAGGACCCGAGCCAGGTGGATATTACACCTGGGTGGCCCAAACTAGGCCCAGGCTCATGACCCTACCCAGGTAGGCTTAATTCAGCCAATGGGGTCAACCAATATCTTGGGCCATGCCTTCCCAGCCAGAGGATTAAAATAGCCTGGCGGCTGGAAGGCCGCCCCTTGTCCCCGTTGCTCCTGCTCCACTCAGGCAGTGCTGCTCCATCTCTGGCTCAGTTCACCGGAGGTGGGCTCGCAGTCCCATTGGGTTGCCCATGTTCAGTTGTGGGCCCCAGCATGGGCTTACACGTGGTTTGGCACACTTCCCTGAAACAGCGTGTACTCTTTTGAGACTGTAAAACTTGAAACTTCCCCCGTCCTTTATAAAAACCCACTTGGATTACAAACCAGGCTTCAGCGTGAATTCTTTCTCATGCAAAACCAAGAACCAAAGTATGACCCACCGAGAAACCTAACAAAAACACATTTAATAGTAGGGAATTCAGTGTTCGGTATTTGAAATAAATAGGTTTAACACAGCCAAGATCCTAGGAAAGACAAGGCACATAGACTCCCTGAAACTGTGGGAGATAGTCGTTGAGTTTCAGTGGTTGTATCTAAGAAGCAGAAACACAACAGGAGTCTCATATACTATGGTGGCTAGGGTCTAGAAATATTCAGCAGAAATGTTGCAGAAAATTTATAGCATTAGAGAAATTTAAGTGATTGAAAATATGATGCTTACTAACATTAGTTTTCATTATCTAGTGCTGCTAAAAAGAAATACCACAAATGTATGGCTTTAACAGACAGAAGCATTTTCTCACGGGCTTCCTCATCCCCCACTATCATGTCCCCAGTGATGCCTTCCAGTGCAGGGTAGACTGGAGAATGTGCACAGATACACATGAGAGAGAAGAGACCATGACACACAGAAGCCAGGAACAGGAATGGTGGCAGTGAGAGCAGAAGGCTTGGGGAAGGTGGGGAGAGAAGGGAAGGAAGGGGGTACTGATCACAGTGATCAACATATAATCACCACCACCCCACTTCCAGGGGGACAAACAACAGAAAATTTAGGGGAAGGAAGCCAGTGGTCTGTGTAAGATATGAAAATAATAATAAGGGCTCAAATAAAGGCTAGAAAGTAAATGTCTAGAAAATAATGATGACAACATATGTACAAATATGCTTGATGCAATTGATGTATGGATGGTTATAAGAGCTGTAAGAGCCCCCAATAAAATGATCATTTAATAAAAAGTAATAAATAAATAAAGATACGGCATCTTTCAGCCTAGTGCCTTTAAAAGACAGCTTGACATTAGCATCTTAAAGGTGGACATTTCTGGAAAGAACTCTTTCTGTCTGGAGAATGCATATTAGGTTTTATCTCTATCTTGGGACTGTGGAAGTCTTCTTTCAGTAGAGCCAGTCTTGCAAGCCCTGTGGTCATGAACGCAGACATATCCCAGATCATTCTTTCTCCACTAGCCAGTCCATTAACTGGATCGACAAAAATAAAACTCCCCCAAACCCACTACCATCAAGTTGATGTTAATTCACAGAAAACCTCTAGAACAGGGTAGAACCACTCCTGTGAGTTTTAGAAACCCCTACTGTTTAGGGGAGTAGAAAAACCCCATCTTTCTCTAGGGAAATTGCTAGTGACTTTGAACTGCTGGCCTAATGGCCTAACTCATAACCACTACGCCACCAGGGCATCCCTTTCTCAGTAATCCGAGGAACATGTGCAGTCCCCACTCCTTCTCTATCATTGCCTCACGGCCCACTCCAAAGATATCCCCCACTCTGTGGAGCATGGGCAGGGAGGGCACAGCTGTGCCACTGGGCCAATGATAGGCCCACAGATAAGGGTCAGTCAGTACTGGACCTGAGCCAGGGGCTGCCTGCAGTACGGGTGCCATGGGGCCACTGCAGAGTAGGCCGTCATCCCACAGCCCACACTCCGGTCCTGGGAAGGGAGCAGGCAGGTGTAGGTGGTATACAACTGCGGTCCACACACACTTCCAGGACAACAGCAGTTCAGCAGCTGCAGGCTCCATCCTTCTCAGGAAATCAAACATTTCCTACTTTAGCTGCCAGTCTCTCATCTTTCTCAGATGGCTTGCCAGCCTTCCTGCCATGGCAGCGGCCTGGGACTATTGGACTAGCACTTCCCTGGTGAAAGAGTTAACCTTGCTACACTTCATAGTCTCAACTCCTCCAGTGCCTTCTTTTCTTTGGCCACCTCACCTCTGGTGGAGGCACTAACAGTACACTGCAAAGGGACCAGGCTACCTGGGTAACCAGCATTCTGGGATCTTTCTCGGTCTTACTAATCCCTACACCTTTTAGAGTCCAAATAGTCCTTTCTATACTGGGGGTGTCTATCTCCATACTCATGGGCAAAAATGGCCATCTTTGCATTAACCCCAGGAGATCCCTTCAACCTATCCTGTCTCCGAGGTTCAGAAGCATTTCCTATCTCCTGACTAGCTTATTAGCTTTATGTGCTCAAGCCCAAAACAAGATGAGAAACAGAAAAAAACAACAAAACTGATCCAGAGCCAATCTGAGAGGCATGATTTTATTATGCCTGGTGGTTTATGGGCTAGAACAGACAGCACTGCTTGTTCTAGCTAGCAGACAGACTGCTTAGGAAAGTTTCCCTTGAGGGGGTGGGGATCATCCTGAGGTCCCTTTTATTTATTTTTATAGTTTTATTGAAATGAAATTAACATAATGTACAATTCAATAGTTCAATCATAATAAGAAGAGTTGTGCAATTATCACCATAATAAACTTTGGAACATTTTCTTCCTTCCTGTACCTATTGCTATTGACTCTCAACCCCCACCCCTCTTCCCCACCCACCCACCTCCCCTTCTGTGCCTCCAGGTAATGATTATTCCTGTTGCTGTCATAGATTCACCCTCCTGACCTCCCGATACAGATAAACATACAAAACAAAGACCAAAAAAAAACAAAAATATCAACCGAGGCACCTAATTTAACCACAAAAGAAAAACTCGGCTTATACATGAATTTATAGGTCTTTAAAAACTAAACTAATTTCAAAAGGGGTCACAAAGGAGATCTCATGACAAG